ATCGAATCAGGCCGTCGGTCGTGCACAAACCCTTCGCACCGATCGACTGCGCTCCTCGTCTCGACTACGCGTGGGACGCTGCACCTCCGACGCCGAACCAGGTACCGGTATCGAAAATTCTTTCTCTCGTGAAGATCGTCGTGATTTCATTGTGATCACGGTTTCTAGCTACGATGGAAACCGTTCGACGTGCCGACCAGGCAAGCCGCCGAGGTAGATTTCGTCCAAGGTCTGCACACGATATGCGGCGCGGGCGATTGTCGCGCTCGCCAGGGTATCGCCGTTCACGTGTACCTCTGCAACGCCTCCATGAGGGACAGGGCTCTCTACAATGCTGACGGAGATTTTCTAATTGGTGCGTGCTTCTTCTTTCCTTTTCTTCCCTTCTTTTTCCCTCCACCTGTTCTCGAGATCTTCTTTTTCTTTTTTGACGTGGAGGAAATCTTCATAAGACACCTGAGTCTTTTAAGGGAAGACCCAGATAGTGTCCGCACGTTGGGAGAGCGTCCGGCACCCTCTTTACACACACAGAGCTCTCCCGTGCTGTGTTGTCCTTCCAAAGGACAATGTCTTTTTTTTTTTTCGCCCGGGACTCGAACTCTGGACCCCCAGATCTACGAACTGAACTACGATGCTATCTGGTGTAAAAATAATATAATTACTCGCAGTGCCCCAGTTGGGCGCGTTGCTGGTAACCACGGAGTTTGGCAAGATCCGTTGCGAGCCGAACGAGATATGCGTGATCCAGCAAGGTATGCGATTCAACGTCGCGGTCTCCGGCCCTTCCCGCGGCTACATCTTGGAAGTGTTCGACGACCACTTTCAACTGCCCGAATTGGGGCCAATAGGTAAATTGGATCGCTAAACTCGATCGAAACAGACAGACTGACCGATCTCTCCTCTTCGAACAGGAGCGAACGGCTTGGCGAATCCGAGGGACTTTCAAACACCGGTCGCCTGTTACGAGGACCGTGAAACAGATTACGAGATCGTTTGCAAATATCACGGTAAATTGTTCGCCGCGGAGCAAGGCCACAGCCCGTTCGACGTGGTAGCTTGGCATGGAAACTACGTCCCGTTCAAATACCACCTCGACAAATTCATGGTCGTTAATACGGTTTCCTTCGATCATTGTGTAAGTGTGTGAGAGCTATAACACACTCCGTCCACTGATCGATCGGTACGAGTACGATTCTGATATTTTGCTGTCCGCAGGATCCTTCGATATTCACCGTGTTGACGTGTCCCTCCGGGAAGGCTGGCACAGCAGCGGCCGATTTTGTGATATTCCCACCACGGTGGTCCGTGCAGGAGCACACTTTTCGGCCGCCTTATTATCATCGTAAGTGCGTAGAAAGTCGGCTGTTCGATGCTCTTGCTCGCGATAAACCAACGACGCGACGGAGAAATTTCGAGAGCGATCGAAATCGTGGCCGCCGCTGCGGATCCGCATTATAACAATATCGGCGTGGACGTCCTACGATAATCATCTTTCTTTTCTTTTCTCCTATCTCTCTCTCTCTCTCTCTGTCTGCTTCTTCGCATACCGATTTTCGATCTACAAACAAACAAAAGTAATTGCGATCGCCGCTCATAAGCATAACGTATAACGTGAAAATCGTGTGTAACCGAGATATCGGTGAAAACTCGGAGTTTTCTCCGCTGATATCGATCGATCCTTCCTTTTTCTTTCACGGCTATCATTCTGCCGTTTCTTTCCACGCGAAACCTGCAATTTTTCCCTTTCCCTCTCCTTCTCCCACTCTCTCCTTCTCGTAGAGTCAAGTCAAGAACAACATCGTGTTTTACACGCGTAAATCTGCAAGGTAAAACTCGATCCGCAGGGAACTGCATGAGCGAGTTCATGGGTCTGATAAAGGGACGATACGAAGCGAAGGAGGAAAGTTTCCATCCAGGCGGAGCGTCGTTGCATTCCATTATGACGCCACATGGGCCGGATGCCTCTTGTTTCGAAACTGCATCCAACAGCGAGCTAAAGCCCGAACGCGTCGCCGACGGGACCCAGGCCTTCATGTTTGAGACATCGTACAATTTGGCGGTGACCAACTGGGCTGCCAACAAGTTGGACGACGATTATTACAAATGCTGGCAGTCCCTTAAAAAACATTTCGTTCTGAAATGATACAGTCCTGCTTTAACGATATATCGTTTTTCACGAGGGCATTCTTATCTCCCCGCCCCCCAATTACGTGTGTTTGCAAAGTGATAAGAATGCACGATTAAAATAATTAATTACACAATTCCTTTTGTTCGTTTGTTAGAATTGTTATTACTTACCCTAGTCATTTTTCCCTATAGGTTGGGGTAGCTCAGTCGGTAGAGCATCAGACTCTTAATCTGAGGGTCCAGGGTTCTCGAGCCCCTTGTTTGGGCGAAAGAAAAAAAGAAAAAAAAACACATTGTTCTTTAGGACAACAACACAGGGAGAGCTCTGTGTGTATAAAAAGGTCCCGGAGCTCTCCAAACGTGCGCAGGATGGCCATCGTGGAGGTTTTAGTCGGTAAGAATCCGACACTACCTGGTGGGGGTCTTCCCTTAAAAGGCTCAGGTGTCTTATGAAGATTTCCTCCACGTAAAAAAAAAAAGTCATCTTTCCTTAATTCGTGTCATATATGAGACTATACAGGATGATCCATTGACATCTTTCAAATATCTTTTCAAATTGTGTGCGAAAAATATTTTTTACCTGACACGAATAGTATCGAAGGGTCAATAATCGGTAAAAACATTTTCGGAGATTTTAAGATTATCGATGTTTTTTTTTCACATAACGGTGCATCTTTATTGCATCTTGTAAAAAACATAACCTTGAAATAACACCGACGTCCAAAAATTTAAGTTCTTCTTCCAAAGAATGAACGGCCACTTTCGTATCGCTGCAAGAAAGATGTTTACGATTTACAAAGTCTATTCCGTGAAGATCTCGATGCAGAGATAAATGATACGGGTGAAATTTTTTCTTCATTTAATATCTTTATTATGCCAGCTTTAGAAATGCTACTCTCACGCTCAAATTGCCTTATTGTAGATTTTCGTACGTTTCGTACTTTGCGTACGTATTTCGTGATGGACAATTACGATTAGGAAATCTGTATATCTCTGCACACTCAAATTGCTTCTTTCAAACACACTGGTCACTTTCACTATGAATGAATAAATATGTATCATATCGATGTTTTCTTGCGTTGAGTTATGAATTATTGACAAGTCGAATTACTGATATACCGATCGGAATTTCATGCTGCTAGAAAAGAATATCATTGACGATGCGATAAATAATAAACATGTTCATTTACATTTATTATTAGGCTCTCGATTGTAGAGCCAAGATTTGTGATCTCGGTAGGGATAAATTTACACGTAAAACTTAAACTTTCAAGGTTATATTCTTTACATGTCTGAGTCTTTTTATTCAGCTGCACGATAAGGAAAAATACATGATTGCACGAGAAAAGAAAAAAAAACAACAATGATCTTGAAAAAAAAAACGATCTTGTCAAGAAAGAATATTCTTACCAGTTACTGGTCATCGAGTTTCGATACCATTCTTGCTACGTGAAAAAATAATTAATTTTTTGCATCGTCGCAATTCAAAAACATGTTTAAGTGGCCTTGCATTTAAATGGACTCTATCCCGTGTACGATAATAAGCGATGATTCACAAACGTTCGTCTTTGTGCCATCGTCCTTCGTTCGTTTTTTCCGTTTAATCGCGTAGCCCTTTCGCAATAAAACCTCGCAACGACGTTTATCATCCGCGTAGTGAAAAGGTTACGATATTCTTCGACAGAGCGCGTTAGGGTACAAGCGCCTAGCGACGCGCGTCCAATAGTTCGCGCAGAGAAAAAGCTTCACCGTTCGAGAGAAAATGTGAATCATCGCGATCGAACTTTGTATGATGCTTTATCGTGGAAAAATCGACAAGTGTGACGACTATTGACGTTCGACGCGACGTAAATATGTTGAGTTCGATCGAATCCTCGACTAGCTGTGGTTAATACGCAACTCTAACCTATAACGATGTGGCGACTTGTCAGCCTCGCGATGCTTCTTTGTTTCTTGAACGGAAGCGTCGCGGCCTCTTACTGTTACCCAGACTACTGTCAGAACGTGGTAATTCTTTCGTGTTCACTTGACATTTCGAATTCTCTATCGATCGGTTTCTCGAACTTTGTGACGCCTGTTCAAACTGTACACGCTACGTTTAAACCTTTTGCAGACAAAGCTAGCTGCTGCGCCTGGTTTTCAGTGTCTGTTGACGAGAGCTCAAAGAAACGAAGGTACGTACCTGTCTATAGGTAATTTGGACAATTTGTGCGACGCAATATGCATTTTCAATATACATAGGAGATATCGTGTATAGAATTATTTGCATTTTTCTTTCATCTTCTCTAGACTGCACCAAACTCACATTCGATGGTTATAGTCGTTACCCACCGAACGGCGAAACAGCCAAGTTTAATCTACGAGCGTACACGTACGAGGAATCTGGATATAAATGGACGGCTTTCAACTTCAGCGTTACCAATGTGGACTTTCGTGGTAAGAATCATAGAGTAAAGTGACTATGCATTGTCAGTTGGACTGTCATCCTTATTTCTGTAATTGAACAGGACTGGTTATGCGTTATCAAAGTTTACTGGATGAAAATGAGTCAATCTGTAGATACATAGAAGTCCATGGGAACGAAACTGACCCTGCCCCGAAGGAATTGTACGTTTCTTGTCCATTTTCTGACGAATCCTATGAGTCAGTCCCGTACCGGTTAGAGTACCTAGTAACAGAAGAAAAGTACAAGTATAGCAAAAGATACGTTTTCAATGTACCTGTGCACAGATTTATCGGTGAGTCTTTGAGTCGGGCCATTTTTTTCGTTGAATGAGAGTAAGCAGTTGTGTGTTCGTTCAATGTTGACCGTTTCTCTCGAATCTGTCCTATCTCAGGAGAAGATGTAAGTATAAAGGAATATAGACCGTTTGTATATATCGATGTGTCTTACGCTCCCCTTCTTTCGTTGCACGTTCAACCACTGCCAGAAGTATATAACGTAACAGGATATAAAGTCTGGTTGATAAACAACGATACGGATTTCGCAAAAGCATTTAATATGACGAGCGAACAAGATTTCCGGTACAATTTTACCGCGCACACCGGCGTGTTTTATTTTAAAGTTGCTGCTATGCATCCGGAATGTGGCGACTACGGATGCGTAAATAGCACCACGCCTTTTATCATTATACGTAAGTAAACAAGCATTGTCTACGCGTGTCCATATTATCTCGAGTTTAAATATTGAAAATGTCGAGTCGCATTACACGATAATGTTTTTTTTTTGTTTTTCTTTTGCAGAGGAAACCTCTCACCGTCTGCTAATCATGATTATTAGCACCGTGTGGATACCGCCAGTGATACTATACGTTCTTTATCATTTGTACAAATTGTACAGAAAGGGTAAAGCTGCAACACGTCTGCAATACATTTGACAGGGCGATTTGAGATTTTATCTGGTGCATTTTTGCAGAAGCCACGAGAAGGAGAGGGAAGCCAAAATGTTTGTTAATTTACTCACCGACGCGATTGTCGCACATCAACGTAATGATCGAGCTGGCGAAATATTTAAGAGTCTGCGACATTAACGCTATGATAGACATGCTCGACGTAGCGGATACCACCGGCAAAGTTAGTGCAAGCTTATTTCAAACAGAAATAAACTGTTTAACACTAAATGTACCAAGCGGGGTATCAAATGACCCTTTTTCAAAATTTACTTTAAAATCGTACATTCGTTGTTATTTCTTTCGTTAATCTGACTTTTTGTAAATTCTTATATTACCTGTTTTTCTCTTAGCTTATTTTTTACGAGAAAAATTCTTTGCATACCTTATGTACCGCGAGGGGTCATTTGATCCCCTTATGGTAAGATAGGTATATGTAAAATGCCGGTACGTTTAGTGTTAAATACTCTGCGTAATGTAGCTATCTTTGCCATCGTCGAATTTTCGAAACTTGCACCGTGTATTGTTATTATTTATTGCAAATGTTGAAATATTTCTTAGCTTCTTCCCTAGCACGATGGGAAGTTTTCGTGTTCTGTCTGTGGTGGAATTTTGGATACGATTGAAACGTGCTTGGAAGAGAGCGGTAGAATTTTAATGGCAATCAAGAGATCTGAATTATCTCTAGAGTATATTAACACTAAACGTACCAAGCGAGGTCAAATGACTCCTTTTCAAAATTTACTTTAAAATCGTACATTCGTTGTTATTTCTTTCGCTCATCTGACTTTTTGTAAATTCTTACATTATCTGATTATTCAATTTCTCGCTTTCTGTTCTTCTCTTGGCTTATTTTTTACAGAGAAAAATTCTTTGCATACCTTATATACCGCGAGGGGTCATTTGATCCCCTTATGGTAATATAGGTATATGTAAAATGCCGGTACGTTTAGTGTTAAACATCTTGAAACGTTAATCTCACGGTATGTTGTACTTTTGACGTAGGATCCGGAATGTTGGTGCGATGCCGCGTTTCGAAACGCGGACGTCGTTCTTATCGCAACTTCTCCACCAGCTGAGAAGCCTGCAATCTCGACCGTTTATCAAAATACCGGCAATTATCTTCTACGACTGGTCAAAGAAAATCAGTTGCATAAGGAGAAGCGCTACTACATCGTGCAGTTGCCGTATTGCAAGTCGGACGACGTGCCGGAAGAAACGAGGCATTTGAGGAGACTTTGCTTGCCAAAAGAACTGACGAAACTCGTTAAAATTATTCACAAGATGGAGCGCGCAAGGTGCGTTTCCTCGGTATCCGACCGAGAATTCTTGGACAGCGTGAAATTAGCGAAACTCGAGATATTAAAGGAAGATGCGAACGTTGCGAAGGATGAACGAGAAACTGGTTAGTTTCTTTTTTTTTTTAGATTCGTAGCTCTAATTCTAATTTCGTAATTTATATACCGATATTGTAGAAAACCTTTTAACCTCGGAAAACGATCGGACTTTTCCATCGACCATGGCGAATGATAACGATGTGTCCAGATCGTTCGCAACGAATATAGACGAATTGAACTTGCTGGGAGATAGCGGAGAGAGCGAGGACGTACGTACTCGTAAATCTTCCAAGGACGATACTTGCGCGTTTCGTATCGACGAGTTGAACTTGTGATTTCGTTTCAAGTATACGCCTTTTATTCGTCATGTTACGAACAAATTCAAGACTTACGTAAGGTAGATAATTTTTTAAGATGTAAAACTTTTTTTTCTTTTTTTATACATATACTGATTTAACTTAATAAATGCTAATTCCTTTTGTTACCATACAACTCCTCGTGCCCATTTCTTGCCATCACTCTCAGAAACCAAATCTGATCAACTTTAACCTGGTATGCGTATGTGCATATAATAATAATAATAATTTTGTCGAATTACAGAGATTGCGTAAATAATTGTACGTTTCAAGGAAATGAGCTTTAATTTCTACAGTTAATCAACATGATTTCCAAGTGGCCTTGATTCGTCAGATCGCAAGTGTATTACATGTATATATACATGTATCTTTACATATGCGTACACGTGTGTAATATGTTTCAGCACGACATAAACGATGATGTAATGGTAATAGTTGAGTTCACACGACATGTGCCTAAGTACTAATCGATCCCTTGAAAATAAGTAAATATACAGTGCTATATATATGTATATATATATATATAACTAAATTTGTACTTGAAGGTTTGCGTGATGAACGCAACTGGTTAATTAATACAACGAAACGAAACGTTTCTACTTTGTACAAAAGTAAACGGGGAAAAAAGAGACAAATTCATTAGGGATAAATAGCAGTCTTGAGTACAAATTACATCGATCGATAACGCTCGGAAGCCTTTCTTTTTTTTTTATTTTGCGTGTATAATGGTAGAATCTCCGTTTCGTGCAATTATTTCATTCGAGACGGTACGTCGAAAGATATTGGAAGCCGCTGCGACGAGGGATCGAACAAAAGGGAAGCTTAAAGTCTGATAAATAGTTTTAGCGTGTAATTAACGCCATCTTGTTTCTCGCCTTTCAGCGAACTTGTCACGCAATCGATGACGAAATTACCAAAGGTCGTTTGCAGAGTTAATTGAACGTTGGTCAATTACTAGGAAGTTAAGGGTAGAGCTCGTGTTAACGGGAAGCCATTTACTTTGCCTCGTTGTTGGAATCCAGATGACGAAACAAGTGCGGAGAATTCATGTTCGTTCTGATCGAGCCGTTTCCCATCGTGAAGAAATCCTTAAGAGCTTACAAACTAAATTAAACGAACTAGTCGAACAGGAAGAGAGTTGCGAGTTCCACCGATCTTACCTTTTCAACAAGCATATCGATCTATTTCGATTTTTCAACACGTACGCGTGTTTGTCCGTAGAGAGAAAGAAAGAAGGAAGCTGCAGTATCAAAGCTGTTCGTAGCTCACAACCGTCGTCGACGATATTTACGTCGAACGAAAGAAGAAAAAAAAAAAAGGCACGAGTTATCGAGTCATCGAAATCGTCGGTTCTTCAGGCTCAGTTAGGGCGAGCCTGTTGATCGCCGTTGTCGTTTCCATTGGTAAAGACGAGCAACTCCTCCGCTTCCGGTTCCGGTTCCGATTCGATCTCCGCCTCTGCCTGCGAGGATTTCTTGCCCTCCATGTCGATGTAGGATTGCGTGGAACGTTGGTTGGTCGGCGTGACCAGATCGTTGTCGCTGTTGCTGGCGACGCTTGTATTTCTGAACTTGATAGGACTCTCGTAGTGGCCAACGGGAGCAGGGAAACTCGGTGACCGATCGTTCACGTACAGTTTGACCGATTCCTCGGGGAAAATAGCCGCAGATTCCTGCCACAGGGCATGGAGTTTGTCGACTTTGTCACATTTGGTCACCAGGTCGGAGCACGGTCTCTCCAGATAATTGACCACGTCGGTTCTCAAAGTATCGATCTCGCAAACATCGTCCGTCGTGCCGTCGTTGCCAGAACCTGTGTGTGTCGTTCAAGTAAAAGCTTTCCGTTCGAGGCGAGACACGACGAGAAGGTACACAAGGTTTCAGAAGAGTATCATAATTGAATTCTATAACCTTCGATTTGACGGAGATACGTGTAAAGAAAAAATTGACCTTGACCTTGAATTTCGAGGTCAAAAGTTGTTTCTTGGTTGCATTCTACTCGCTACAAAGGTGAAATTTTTACAAGGGAAAATAGGTCGCAACGTGAAAAATGGCAAAAAAGTTTCTCAATCGTGCGTGCTGACAGCGACTTTATA